AAAAAATGGGCAAAGGACTTGCATAGACATTTCATCAACTTCATCTGTTCAAACAACAGTATTATTTCCATACTAATAGATGAGAAAATGGGATATAAGGTTTAAGTATCTACCAAGGTACCAAGTGGCAGAAGAATGAGTTAACCCAAGCAGTCTAGCTTAAAATAATAATAATAATAATAAAGGTATTCACATTTACCCGGTACCCTATACCCACAAGATAGCCACTTTTAATAGTTTCTTGCGTTATCTTTTGAGTTTTTTAATGGAAATACAAATATATATTCTTATTTCCCTCCCTCATTCCAAATGAAACATACTATACAAACCATTTTGCCTTTTTTTTTTTTTTCACTTAACAATACATTTTTTGGGTTATTTTGGTGTCAGCGAACAGTTTCCTTCTCATTCTTTTGTACAGCTGAGTATTAGTCTGTTGTATAGATATACCAAACCAATCTCCTACTGATTGATGGGTATGAATCGTTTCAGGTCCTCTCCTACCCAAACGTTGCTGCAATGAACAACCTCATACCTGTATCACTTCCTGAATATGCAGGTATATCTATAGGATAAATTCCCAGATGTGGGATAACCCACTGCTATCAAGTTGATTCTGACTCACAGACACCCTACAGGACACAGTAGAACTGCCCCACAGGGTTTCCAAAGCTGTACGTAAATCGTTATGGAAGCAAACTGCCTCATTTTTCTCCCATGGAGTGGCCGGTGAGTTCAAACCACCGACCTTTTGCAAAGTTAGCAGCCAAATGCCTTTACCACTGCACTACCAGAGCTCCCGAGATGTGGGATAGCTGGGTCAAAAATATGTATAGTTATTAAAGTACTGGCAAATTGCACTTCATAGATTTTGTTCACACCAATACCATTACTATTTTAATTTTTGACATCTTATATTTAAAAAATGTTATGGCTAGATTTCCCCCATCTACATCCCAACTACTTTTCTTTTTCAGAATTTTATTGGCCAGTCTAAATTGTCTATTTTACCATATGAATCACAGAAATAGTATTTCTAATCCCAAAAGGAAAAAAAAAACAAACAAAACTAAACTATTTTTATTAGGAACACATTAAATTTACTTAAATCTGAATGCAATTTCTTGATGGCTTCCTACTGAAATTTGTGTATTTGTTCATTTATATGTGTCTTGTTAGGCTCTTTGGTAATACTTTAAAGTTCTCTTCTCATAGTTTACATATATTAAGTTTAATTCTCATTTATCTTCTTTGTTGCTTTTGTAAGCAGCAGTTTTCTTCTGCTGAGACTGGTCATTTACACATTCGAAGGCTATTGGTTTCCATGTATTAATCCGGTACTCTATGATTTTGCTTAACTCTCTTATTAAAATTACATGGAGGATGACTGTTAAGTGAATTCCTTAGAAAAAGTATCTTTGCAGACAAGCAATTTTCTCCATTACCTCACAGAATCCATGTGGCCTGGTAACACCTCGACTCCATTAGGTATCAGGACTCCTAGACTCTGTCCAGACTCATGGATAAACATTGTAACAAGAACGTTTTCTTCAAAAATTAAGGTAACTGGGCCTGACTAGAACCCCAAAACTTTGACTTCCAAAGCAGGGCTTTCTGCGCTTTATGACATTGCTTCTCGAAGTGTAAAACTAGTGTTTAATCTAGAACTTCGCCTGGCAGCCTATTAAAGTATCCCAGAGACCAGGGGATTTGAGACAAGCTGAAGCAGGCAACCTGTTACAAAATATCCCTTTGAAATACTCTTGCTTCTTTAAAAGTAAATCACAGTTCTTTGCATTCTACCCCATTTAAAAGAAATACATTTTTATATAAAAATCAGTTATTTACCACCTAGCTTTTTTTTCCCCCTTTCAAATCCTCAAGTAAAATAGATGCTCCAGGAAGATGGACGGTTACAAAAATCAGCACTTTGGACAACTGAACTCAGATGCTATCACCTCAGTACTAGTCTCTCACATCTCCCTCTTACGCGCAGCCACACTCAATTTTGCATCCAGTCTCTCAATTTACTCAACAACCCCAAAACATCCGGTGAAACATGTGGACAAATTCAGGGTCACACATACTAGATCCTCCTCAGAGGCCTCCTCCCCCGCCCCACACAGACTCGAGACTTAAACCCACCCTCACTCCCGCGCCGCGCCCCTCCAGATCGGGAATCCTCCCCTTCAGCCTACCCGTCCCGGCCGGCCCGAGACGCCCAGGTCCCACCTCCTACTTTCGCGCCACGTGGACCCAGGGGCCTTACTGACCCGTGGACAAAGACCAAAATGTCCCCTCGGTGCGCTGCGCTTGCGCACTCGGAAGGGGAGCGAGCACTCCCAGAAGTCTCCGCGAAGATGGCCTTGCTCAGTCACCGTGGCTAAGCCCAGGCTGGTATTTGATTACCTTCTATTGCCAGCAACGCCGCTTTTACGGCCTTAGACTACATTTCCCATAAGGCTTTTTGGTCAACTCTTTCTTGGATGTTTTCTCCGAATTTAGCTGCCTCTTCCCGTGATTATGTGGCTCTCAGGATGTGTAGACCTTCCTTGGCAGAAGATCATCTCAAGCCTGGTGGTAGGTTTGGGGTAGGAACTCAATCTCTGAAGCCTTCTGGAGGGCGATATCAAACTGGCCAAGCTCAGACTCAAAAGTGAGAGAACACCATCTTGTCCATGTCCGAGCTGGCGCTGGACTACCTTTCCCAGAGTCCACAGAGGCCCGACTTCACGTCTCTTGACGTCTTGGCGAAATTCTTAGCTCGGCGGGTACCCGGACGCGACCAAGAGAAGGCAGAAGGTGAGGGGTCTGAGAGTCCGGGGCGGGGACGGGGCGTGTCTGGAGCCTCCATTGAGCACGCTGGCGAGAACAGTCTGAGGATGCGCGATTCAGATCGTGTGTGCGTGGCTGTGTCTGTGCTACTGGGTATGGGTGCCTGAGTGTGCGGTTGTGACTGCCTGTCTACAGGGCGTGTGTGTGTGTGTGTGTGGTTGCATTTGTGGAGCCATGTGTGGCGCTGATTGTGCGTGCACAGTCCTTGTGACTTTGATGATACTGCGTGTGTCCCTGTTGTGGATGTGACTACATGTCTTGTCTCTTCGGATGTAAGTGTAGTTGTGATTGTGTGACCGGTGTGGGTATCTGTGCATGTCTCCAAGGTAGGTGTATGGTTGTGGTGTGTGATGCTGTGACCTTCTGTGATAACTGTTTTATGCCTATGACCTGTGTATCCCTGTTGTGAGTAACTGTGCGTTGTGTCCCTTGGGGTGGGTGTGAAATGGGGTCTGTGACTGTGTAGCACACAGTGTGTGGGTGTGGGGTGTCCTTGCCTCTGCAAGTGTGACTGTATGTTTCCAGAGTGAATGTTCCATTATGACTGGGTGCCAGTGATGGTGCGTGTCCCCATAGTGGGTATGTGATTGTGACTGTGTAGGGTATTTGTAGATATTGGTCTGGGGAGCCTGTGACTGTCTGTCATTGTGGTGAGCAGATGGTGTGACCATGTGTGTCTTCTTACTCACTACCGTTGAGTCATATTCGACTCATATGGACCCCTCCTTGGGTTTCCGAGGCAATTATCACTACAGCAGTAGATTGCTCAACCTTCCTTCCGGGGAGTGGCTGGTGGGTTTGAACTGCCAGCCTTCTGGTTAGCAGTCAAGTACCTTAGGCACTACACTACCAGAGCTCCTGAGCTCCTTCTTAGTGGATGTAAATTGTGACTGTGTATAAGTGGTTGGGGTTCTGTGATTGTGTGGCTATGTTTTGTCACACAATTAGAAGAGTGGATGTGTGATTGTGCTTATGTGACACTATGACCATGTGAGGGAGCTCTGGTAGCATAGTGCCTAAGGCACTTGACTGCTAACCAGAAGGCTGGCGGTTCAAATCCACCAGCCACTCCTCGGAAGGAAGATGGGGCAATCTACTTCCGTAGTGATACTGCCTCGGAAACCCAAAGAGGGGTCACTATGAGTCGGGTCCGATTCAACGGCACATAACAACAACAACAACAATGACCATGTGAAGGAGCCCTGGTGGCACAGTGGTTAAAGAGCTCTGCTGCTAACTGAAAGGTCAGCAGTTTGAACCACCAGCCACTCCTTGGGAGAAAGATGTGGCAGCGTGCTTTTGTAAAGATATACAACCTTGGAAACTCTATGGGGTAGTTCCACTTTGTCCTATAGGGTCGCTATGAGTCATAATCAACTCAAAAGCAGTGGGTTTTTGGGTTTATGACCATGTGTATAACACCAACCAAGGGTGTGGATGTGAGGTGTCAGTGACTCCAGTTCTCTGTCCCCTGCAAAACCTGTGAAATTAGGACAGATTTTGGCCCTGAACAGTGGTGACCTCAACCCTTCCCTGGGACACTGAGATAGTGCAGGATGCCCAGTCTTCCTGACTTCCCTTCCCCTTGTGGAAGAGAAGTTAAGCAGGTGACCCTTTAATGACCTGGTCACTCATGATTCATTTCTCGTAATCCAGTTATACCAATCTCCAAGGGAGGAAAGAATTAAAGCTGAACATCCAAAAGTCAAGTTCAAGGTGCATGAGTGTTAGGGATTGAATTGTGTCCCCAAAAAAGTATGTGTTGGAATCCTAACCCCTATACCTGTGGATGTAATCCCTTTGGGGAATAGGATTTTCTCTGATATGTTAGTGAGGCCCTATCAGTGTAAGATGTGTCCTAAACCTAATCACTTCTGAGTTATTAAAAACAGATTAGATACAGGGGCAAGCATATTCAAGGCAGAAGGGGGTTGGGGGGCGGAAGGGAGAGAGACTGTGTCAGAGGACCATGCAGGCCCAAGAACTCCAAAGATTGCCAGCTACTAGAGGCTGAAATAGACAAGGAAGGACCTCCACAAAAGCCACAACTTGAATTCAGACTTCTAGCCTCCTGAATTGTGAAAAATAAATTTGTTCTTTAAAATGACCTACTTGTGGTGTTTCTGTCAGCAGCAGTAGCTAAGAGAATTAGGTTTCTTCTTCCTTCCCTGAAACACTGCTTGTTTTTCAGAATGTAATTTTCTCTCCTTCTGAAACTTCTTGCCTAACAGAGATCCTTAAAGTTACCTGGTCTCCAGTATATGCCTTTGGACTAAATTACCAAGTGCCCTGGACATGCACTGAAAGGCTCATATGCTCCCTATTCCCATCTAATGTTTATTTATTTTTAATTTTTATTTTGAGCTCATTCCAGACATTAAAAATGTTGTGAAAATAGAGTTCCTACATAACCTTCACCTTGCTTCCCCATGTTAACATCTTTTTTAATGCATTTTATTTAAATAAAATTTATGTACAGTGAAATAAATAAGACAAAACAAAAGTGACATGGGTCAATGCCTTTTTTTTTTTTTTTTTT